ACGCATTTTATAATAACCAGTACGCATTTTAATATAACCAGTACGCATTTTGTAATAACTAGTACGCATTTTGTAATAGCCAGTACGCATTTTGTAATAACCAGTACGCATTTTGTAATAGCCAGTGCGCATGTTGTGGTGACCAGTACGCATTTTGTAATAAGATTATGAATTAATTTGAAGTAACCAGTACGTATTTTATAATAGCCAGTACGCATTTTGTAATAGCCAGTACACATTTTGTAATAGCCAGTGCGCATGTTGTGGTGACCAGTGCGCATTTTGTAATAGCCAGTACGCATTTTGTAATAACCAGTACGCATTTTGTAATAGCCAGTGCGCATGTTGTGGTGACCAGTACGCATTTTGTAATAAGATTATGAATTAATTTGAAGTAACCAGTACGTATTTTATAATAGCCATTACGCATTTTGTAATAACGAGTACGCATTTTGTAGTATGGTCATAAAGCAATTTGTAGTAACCAGTGCGCATTTTGTAATAGGCAGTACGCATTTTGTAATAATCCGTATGCATTTTGTAATAGCCAGTACGCATGTTGTAATGGCCAGTACGCATGAAATAAAACCATACTTTATCGCAAGTCTGATTGGTCGAGGGCTGTTGGCCATGTGCTAATTAATTTTAAACTCTGTCGTGTGTTTACAATTAGAGTAATGTAGATTCTTGTAAACCGTTCTTGTAAAAAGTTCAAGAGAACGACGTTGGGTTAAATTGTAAACGAGTAATTGTAAATACGAGTCACCGATTTATATCTTGATAAACCGGCTTCAAAATCATGACAGCATCTTTTTTTGAATATTGGTGAGGTTTTGTATTGTTTCCTGCTATTAGTCCTCATTACATTTGTTTAACCTAGCCATTTCTGTTGGTGTTGGTTAGTTTGTGCATTGTATTTATGATCAAATACTAGTATTCCACAATTGTAGTCAAACTCCAAAAGTCAAAACATTTTTTTATTTTTTAATCGTCATTTGCTTGCTACAGTGTACCTAAGAGTTTATTTGTTTGTTGAAAACGATGCTCGAACGATTACCGAAATGAAATCATTGCTATATATTTGTATTTATAGCATTGCGTATCTATATTTATACAGTAACTCTGCCAATGTTTCAACCTGTCTATCGCCAACGTGACGGCTAGCTCAGTTTTTAGAGCATGGTAATCTTAATCCCACTTATGGCGAAGTATATTTAACTTGATAGACGACAAGACATGAATGTTCATTGTCTTACTGTGCTGTGCCCACGTTTGTGAATTGGAATTGTGATTTTTTTTTTTTTTCTTTTTTTTTTTTTTTTTTTTGCGCAAGAATGCGCACGCGCGGGAATTGAGTCCCAAACGACGACAACAATGCTCCTTACGCAAGTGACTACTCCCGCACATTTAAATTGAGCGTTGTTTTTTAGGGCTGTGGCGAATGTGGACAACGCCATGTTTGCGAGATCATTTAAAAAATGACACATCCACCACGTACACTCATGTTGCATGCATGCGCCCAATGCAACATAATACGCCCGAACTAAAATCATCATGTTTGTGACAATGTCGTAATTTCAGGTATATTTGTCCAAATTTAGCCGAAAAAGCTACATTTTTAGTTTTCTTGAAATGTTGACCCATCTATAGACAATTTAATGGAAAAAGTACCCATTGTTGGGCGACAATTTACGTATAAACCTCTCCTTCCCTCCATCACTAATCAACGTCCGTCCAGACAATTCGTTGCCCAAAATAAATCTCACAAGGTATTTTTTGTGAAAATGGGTCACAGGTAGGTAATTTCTATTCAATTGGCAGATATGCCACCGTTTGGACGTAGGTGTTTTTTTAAAAACGTGTTATGCGTTTCCAGGCTTTGCGTTCAATGATTTTAATGTTCATGGTATTTATTGTAAGACTATCGAATAACAAATGCCCGCTATAAAAAATCGTACTTTCATGTATTTTTACATTAATTATTATTTAAATAATTAAATCTCGGAAACCTTGCAAAGTGGTCATAAGAATTTCGGAAACACAATTTCAACTACAAATTTATAAAAAAAAAAGGTTATTAAAACGGTTCATATAAAATGATTATGGAAACACTATTTTGTATATTCGTTTTATAACGGTTGTCGGGCTACTGTTATCGCCAAAAAACGTACACAATGATGTTCTATTTTTTTAGACTGTCGACAGTCCTCGAGCCTAATTTAATTGTGTTTTCTGGACATTCAAACGCCAAAGACGTTTGATGGGAAATGCGAACCAATTCACGGGTGGACTTTAGTTCCAAAAGACTGTCGTGCTTAACAGCACCCGATACTTCTTGTCCTGGCGTTCGCAATTTATTCACGGCTATTACGTCTATACACAATATTTATTAATAATAACAGATTAATATTAGGTACGGCCGACTGTCGACAGTCTACTGTTATAGTAAATATATAAGTTTTACTGTCTTACCACTGATATTGTTTTAGTTGTCTACTTCTGCTGTTCCATGCGGACTGATATTAGAAATGACGCCCTCTGTGTGCAGAAATACATGCTTTCAGCTTGAGTTTAATCTACAACAACGCGAGTAAGTAAACTTGCATTAACTAGTACCAGGACAATAAATACACTTAGTATTGTGAAAGTACATGTCACATTTTTTGAGAGATTGGTAATACTTTCTGTACAGAATACATTAAAAAATACAAAAAAAGTGTGATATTAATTACTGTAAAATTACCAATTTTCACTGGGTTTAAATTTCGATGATTTAGCATTTCAGGCATATTGAGTGGGTTTTAAATTCACGGTTTCATCATTTAGATAATATGTTCTATGCTCAATTTTACATATTCACTGGGTTTTATTTTAGCGCATCATGATTTTCCAGTCAGCGAAATAAGCAAAATTAAAACCCAGTGAATAATTAATCCTTTTGCAGCATTTTGTATGGATTCCGCTCAATAAGACTTGATCGGAATGTTAGTTTCGCTCATTTCATTCTCTTATTTTGTTATCCACTTATCTGTGATTTGATAAATACATTGTAAAATGCTTTAATTTGTTCTTTGAAAAAAACAAATATTTGAATCTCATACCAAAGGTCTATTATTGGTAAAACCTGTTAATATTTAAAATGGTTTGTGCTGTTAAAAATTGGAGTACTAGTAAATACTTACTAAATAACACATACACACACAGACCTACACACACATCAAAAGCTGAAAATATCATGGATACCAATATTTTCGATGTGAATGCCAATTTTGGTGTGCAATGACAAATTAACACAAAAAATAAGCGGTAATTTTTCTAATAAATTCCCAGATAATTAATATAATTGATTAACTCATTCACCCCCACACAAAATATCGTTAAATATGAAATCTCTCAAAATTGCCGTTATGTACAAATCGTTCATTATTTTGGCTCAGCCAAATACACCATTGTTTGCATATCGAATATTCTACTATATTTGAAGGGGGTGCTCAAATCAGAAATGAATTTGTTTGATTGTGACCATGTCAAACGTTAGTATGGTGGATTACTCGAACATTTTTGTATTTCATTTTTTTTCGCTCGAAATGTGACTTTTTCTTTAATTCAAATTCGTACATGCCGTATGTTGAAAATGGATTTAGTCCGATCACGAGTTTGAATCTAATGGGTTTTCAAACTTAATTTGTAATCAGCATTACTAGAATCCTGTCACGCATGCCTCTATCGAATAGCTAGAGCAGCCGTATGGTTACCCGTTGCCCTAATTAATCAGTTCGCCGTCATCGTTTGTACGCTGAGTTTGAAAGTCTATTTCGCGCATGGCTCCAAACCTGAATCTGAATCATTTACAGAATCGATATAGATTTTGTTGAACTCAAATATTGCGGTTTTCCATGGAAACTTCTTAAGCTGGGTATGATTTTTACTGTTGACAAAAAACAACAACAACCAGCAGTATTGCAGTATAGCTCATTGTTTTGCAAACATAATAACAATATTAATAACATGCAAAAACTATGGAATTCGCAAGCTACTCATCTTGCCAATAACCGAACATAATGTACACATTTTACATCCCTCGTTTAGGTCGGTATTAGCATTTTTTGTATTTAAGTTTACGAGGAGTTCTACATATTTCATCAGGATTTTTCTAATTCGTTATTTCGCGATTTCATCGAATATCAACAGTCTCATCATGTTTATGTATGAAAATATTGCAATTCGTAACGTAATTGATACAGTACACATTAAGTGATGATGATTTTCATAATGACTCTAAAAACAACATAAAGTCCTGTTTTCCTTCAACTGTTTTATAACTCATTGTTAGTTAAAATTATGCGAAAGACCATATCAAGTGGATTATGGCGACCATTTTGTTTTTCTGTATGGATTTGTTTTACCCCCGTTCATGGATTCTAGAAGCTGTATGCAGTGAGATCGCCTCGCATATTCTTTGTTATTATTTTTAATTTGACGTTCCGGTGTTTCCGAGGTTTCTGGTAAATCCACTCAACAAGTGTATATTATGTGTATAATTGTAATGTACAACACGTGATAAAGTTTACTACGTCGCTTTCTCTAAGTAGTTCGTTTATAAGGTCAAATTTCCAGTGATCGCGCCCTCTACCACCATACAGTCGAGAACAAGACACTCTCTGCGCATGCGTAGCACGCACGTTGTTTGTTCGTAGGTACTTGTATTGAATGATTGAGTGTGTGGATAATCGGACTGAAAACTTGCAATTCTAGCTACCTTTTTTCAACCGAACCGCGGTTAGAGACACATTGCACTGACGTTCCACCGTCTAACATTGCTTGTGAATCTAAAAACCTATACATTCGTTGAAATATGGTGAAGTTGACGCCGGAGTTGATTCAAACCTCAGCACAACACACGAATCCAGTGCGGGACCGGGAACTGGATCTGAGAGGTAAACGTTATCAAATGTATCCGGAATTATGTTCCAGTTTGTAGTATATAGTGCGATAAGTCGTAATTGCAATGACATGAATACAGATCAGTGGACAGTGCTTATAATTCAGAATAGCCTAGTACGACAGGATCCTCCAAATGCGACAAAGACAGAATGATACAACATTGTCAGTCATTGTCCACAGCTTCTAATACTTCACACGTTTGAGTGCGTGTCGTGTTTATGACCATAACTGCTGGACATTCCTGGTTCAGTTTTGTATCGATAAATACCAAATAAATAGAACATAATGCTCAGATCAAGTTTGTATTCAGGTACATTTGTATATTAGTAAGTATAGGCAATGTTCGCCACTATTCAACAAGTTGATCAATTACAGACCCTGCAAGTTAAAAATGTTTTGACCATGGTCCTGCTTAAATGTTGTTGACTCCCTAAAAAATATAAGAGCACAAAACAAATTGATAGATGCATGCATGCTGAGTTAATGTAGGTCCGTAGTAATCTCTTGAAAATTAAATTTGTAAAACCATGTTTTTTTCTAGAAAAAAACTGCAAGAAGGAGCACTGCAATTCAGCAGCGCCACCAAGTGGGGGAGATAGGGTTCTCCCTAACAGGGTGTGGAGTTTTTGATAATTCTGAGTTAAAATGGAGCATTCTATGGCTTCCTTGGGGTCAAAATTACTAGCAGACAGGTCACAGTTGAAGACTGTAGCCACAAGTGATCCCTTGTCAATCAGAATGTTATGATTGCTGGAGGATCTGCTCCCAGGAGTAAGGGGGCGCAAGGCCATGACATGATGGCACTGAGCCCCTTTTCCCTTGTTTAAAAAAAATCCCTGTAATACAAATTGTACATGCATTACCAAATACTTTGATGAATAAACTTCACAATGACGTTAATAATTTGAAAAAAAATACCTACTCGCATTGCCTAAACCTGAAGAAAATACTCCAAAAAGTCTTTATTAGTGAACAAGTATATATAGCAACGCCGTCATCACAATGCACATCTTGATGCGTACATGTAAACAAACTACAAGTATGACATCATAGTAAGTTACTTTTTGATAATTTTGAAGTAAGTGTTAAGACACTTGGTTTAAAAGGGCAGGTGTGTAGGGTACACCATAGAATTAAAATGGAGATTGGTAACATTCATTGTTCCATACCTTTCTTTAATTTACTAATATGTGTCATGCATTGATTAAGCAAAACAATCTTGTCATAAGGCGGAAAATACAAGTATCATTGTCACCATTTTGCATTTGGTTTTTTGGTAATGATTTTTTTAAATAGTTGATATTATATTTCTTACATGTATGTATGTATAGATTTTATCGATAAGATCATACATGTATTTTCAAGAGATTGCTCTAGACCTCTATACTCCATAATAAATGTTTGTCATTTTGAACAGAATTTATCATTTCATTGTCATCAACAGAATCTAGGAGCATACTTGTTGGCCAGCATGTATGCCTTAGTTTTGTATGCTGAGTATGAGACACATATTATTATTGTGCTTGTGTGTTGTCAACTTCTTGATTATAAATGATACTAGCTTATGACAGTTGTAGTGTGGTTAGTTATTTGGTGTATACATCAATAATTTCCATCACTAACGCTGGATTGTGGATGTGGTGTACACATGTCCCAGAACAGAGACATGGCACTGTGGTCTGATGCAAAATTACCATGGCTGGCCTATTCTGAGCCATATTCATTGCTATTAATTATTCACGATATATATGATTTTCAATTTATTTTAATTTTTTAGGGTACAAGATTCCAGTGATTGAAAACTTGGGAGCTACACTGGTAGGATGATTTTTTTTTTCGTAGTTTTCCTCTACCGGTATAATTAGATTTGGTAGTATCATCCCCAGAAATTGAAACTATTGGAATTTGCATAATTATTCATAATGGAAATAATGAATTAACATACTTATTACAGTACTTTGCACCACATGAACTTAATAACAGAAATATATCACTTTGACAGTCAAGATAATAGATAGCATTGTAGTTGTAAAACAAAGCTCTGTATCCGTGGAAAAAACACTGGTAGAAATCCAATTGTTACATTGCAGGTGTTGGGATTCAAGCAAAAATCACAAATTATCAAGGGTATTGACTCATCAAGGACAAACTGAGTAATTTTCACTAAGACATGCTACTCAGTTAAAAACTAGAGATTAGAATGGTAGATTGGAACTGGAAAAATTATAAGATAAATTAATAAATATGAGTACAAAGTGTTATGAATATATATTTAAAGGGAACCTTCCAAGCCCAGGGATTGCACCAAAGAATCATGGGACACTATTGTTTATATTGTTTACAATCTTAATCTATCTTTTGTTATCCATTGTAATTTTAATCCAGAAAGTAAATTTGTTGTAAGATCAGGCTTAACTGGAAGTACCCCTTTAAATGGCATCAATGCTGTTGTTGCACCACACATGTACATGTATGAGAACAATGATTTGTCCTCCAATTCAATGCACTCTCCCAGTGGCAGCAAGAATGTGATATTTTTCCTGGACGATGTAATAGTTGGATTACTCTGATGCATTCCATCATCCTAGTAGTAGTAATTACATAGTTACATGAGGGTCTTGTGTATGCACAGTGCAACAATGTTATAGGAAATGATTCCATTTTGCCTTAAACACGTACTGGCTGTAAAGAAGTAAAAAAAACAAACACTTTAAAATTAAAAAAAAAAGATGGAGGATGAGCTTGTCAGTTTCATGTATTGTATATTACTCTATGTACTCATTAGTGTCTTTATGGCTGTAATGTAATTGTGGACGAATACCACTTTACATTAGTACATGTATTGTCCCAAATATAACTCTCTAAGGTCGAAGTTTATTGCACAGTACTACTAATCCCTACCTACATGTACAGAGATAAAGTTTATTTCATTATTTCGTAATCAAACCACATATATACAATTAAACCTTGGTAAATTTATATTTTATAACATTCAAGTAAAACAACTTATGCTTAGAGAGAACACTTAATTATTCAAATTTTATGTATTATGATTTTATATTTGTTTTTCTTTACTTTTTTCTGCGACCATTCCAATCTAATTTATTATGTATTTATTTGTATCTGTTCATAAGCCAATAGCCACAGTACGAAATAAAGATATTATATTAATTATAATTACCCTGTAGGACCAGTTTGATTGTATTGATCTGTCTGATAATGATATCCGTAAAATTGATGGTTTTCCTCTTCTAAAACGACTTAGATGTCTACTCCTGAACAATAACAGAGTATGGTAAGTTATGTGTTGATTACAACTCTATAAATGGATACATAGTCTGCAGCAAAGATTTCATAGTCTAATTCAAGTTTTGATGTGTACTGATTTATTGTTCTCCGTCATACATTTAATTGCTGATACTTTTAAAACCTCTGTGGTATTTGAATACATGTACATATTGCATGGCTAATAGTACTATGGTTTCTAGGCATTTGTTGTATAGGTTTTAGAAACCTTGCAGAGACCAGATACTAGGCTCATCTTCTGGGTGTAAGTGTCTAAATGCCGACGGCACTGTTGGACCATCTATATTCTGATAATAGTATAGGTGTCTCCATTTAAAAAAATAATTAATGTTCTAATTGATTCCTTATTTCTTTATTTTTCTTTCAGTCGATTTGCCGAAAATCTGCAAGAAAATTTACCTCAAATAGAAGAGCTTATTCTGACAAATAACAGTGTTCAGGAATTGGTAAGATACTAATAGAATAGGATTACTTCACACATAATGATTCTTGCATAAACACGCACTCACACACACACACACACACAAACACACACAAGTATGCGATAAATACATGTAATTCCACCACCACCACCACACTGTCAATTGCTGGAGCCTTCTACATATATCATTAAACCAGAGATGCTGTGCTTCTGACAGAAAATAAAATTGAGGCACCAAGTTCAGTAAACCATATTTGTCCTTATCTCCAATAGAAGTGCATATAACAAAATTCTCATAAAAACATGATATATAGAAGATAATATTTGGTAATCGTAGTCCTAAGTAACTATTATTGATAGCATAGAAGAAAATGTTTAAACATACAGATAGAACATAGGAACGTAAGAACGCGCAAGAACTATAAAATAGAATCACTAAATGAAAATCATAAAAACACATGGTCATGGAACTACTTTTCATGTAAAAAAATTACCAAAAAACTAAGAATTTGAGCCATTTAACATTGCTTGATACGGGTAAGATATCTTGTCATATCTGAAAATCATGTCATATTGTGAAAAAATAGTATGATGCATATGTATATGTTCAGTAAACCAATCTAACTCGTACCCAGTAAGTTTATTTATTGTTGTGTTTCTTCGCAGGGTGATCTCGACCCACTGGCTAGTGTTAAAACCCTGCGAGTTTTGAGGTAAGTATCATGATAAATCATCAGTGTAGAATTTGTCCGCGATCTGATCTCTCGGAGACCTGTGATTATTGTATGGTAGGACAGTGAAAGCAATTAAGCGGATTTTGACTGTAAATTTATTTGGCTGATTAGAAAAAACGTTTTTACCTGCTTACTTTGAATTTAGATGATTTTTCCCACCAAAATGTTGATGCACTGTTTTGTATATTTTGATGTACATGTATATTGTTAATGTTAATTTTGGACCAAATTAGCACAAATTTTCATTGTTTATAATAGTACAAATTTGGCAGATTTATTTTGTGAAAAATTACAAAAAATAACTTTGGTGCTTAAGAGCTTATACTGACAAATGGTCAGATTTTTTTGCTTTTCTTGTTTCCTGTAAAGCCAGCCTATATTTGTGTTTTGAAATTTATTTTTACTAATTTTGCTGAGGAGGTGATTCAGTGAAAATAAAATCCATATGTTTTTTCCAATATGTTGTATTACTGTATTGTACATTCCAAATCAGTGATTTGTGAATAAATTTGCATGGCTAATAAGATAAACGCGCCACTATAACTAGGCCACGAAAAATGCTTGAACTTGAACTAGTGAATCATGTACTGTGGAATACTTTATTTTTGCTGGAATTAATTTTCGCTGAAAAGGCTTTTTGGGTCTTTTGCTTTGAATTTATTTTCACTGATTTTTGATGAGTTTAATGTGAAATATAGGAAAAAAGGTATATTAGTTGGATTTTATTTTCACGGAATCATCCCTTCAGCAAAAATAGCGAAAATAAATTCCAAGCAAAAATAAAGTATACTATATGAAGTATGGTGGTGTGACATTTCTGAAATGTTCACTGTGTTCTTATGTCAAGATTATCAAATAATATCAACACTTATATTTTGTAGTTTGTTAAATAATCCAGTTATAAGCAAGAAACATTACCGCCTGTATGTCATAAGCAAACTACCACAACTCAAGTTATTGGATTTCCAGAAAATCAGAATGAAGGTTAGTTTGTGTGAGATGGTTAAAATCCAAGGTAAAAGTTGTCTGTCTATTAAACAGGCTTGGGAATCATAGTACTTTCATTTCAGTCAGTGTTGCCATGGTAGTGTTCTAACAAAAATGTGCTAAGATAACCAAAGTTAAAAATATGTTATGCCCCAGTTTATCTGCCAGTTTGATACATGTAGTTTGAAAAAATAAAAGTAGTTATTGCATACATGCCAAAGTGCATCCCGAATATATAATCAGTGTTTCCACTGAAAAAAAAATGAGTACCGGATAAAAAGAAACATAATCCATGATTTTCATTTCGTATTCATGTCATATCCTGCTCCTGGTGTATTTTCACTTATGTCGTATTATTGTTCAACAAAATGTTCATCAATTGACATTCAACAGATGAAAGAAAATTGATCAATCTTTTTGCGACATTAAGGCCATGAGATTAATTCAAATTTTGCGTCAACAGAGCATGTATGCACATGCATACAATGCATCATGGGAGATTACTTTCCATTGTATATAATAGACTATCACTAAATTGTATGTAATTTTTTTTTAAATGCAAAGTTAGATTTCTTATCAGTAATAATACCAAATGTATTATTACTGATAAGAAATCTACGGCTTTTCCATTCAAGAGCAAAATTTTGAGATATAAATAATCTCACCATAGAAAGCAAAATTAAAATTTTCACTATTTTCCATGATATTTCTTAAAAAAACATCCGGTTATCATTTTGAAAATGGTACTGATCACTCCTAATATAGTGCTGTTCAAAAATCAGTGAAAATAAATTCCATACGAAACACCCAAAAAAGTCTTTTCAGCGAAAATGAATTGCAGTAAGATAAAGTATTTTACAGTATTACTCAACAGTTCATAATTCTAAATTTCTGAACATTTTGGATTTATAATTACTCTCTTCAGAGGTATGCTCCCTCCTAACATTTTTTTTTAGAAAAACCCTTGTATGTTGTCAGTCATAGCCTGGTACAATCTTAACACGTGTGTGTTTGATATACATGTACCGTAAAATCTGTATTAGAAGCCGCATCTCTAATAGAAGCAATTTGAATAATTGAGAACCAAAAATTGACTATTCTCATATGTGTAGATTCTCTAATAGAAGCATGCCCTCTGTTGCATTGTACCATTTTAATAGAAGCCGCTGCTTTTAATACACATTTTACAGTAGTAACTAACATTTTCTGTTTGTTACAATAGGAAAGAGAACAAGCTAGGAAGGTATTCAAGGGACAGAAAGGACATCAGTTAGCGAAAGACATCGGAAAAAAATCACAAACGTAAGTGATTACTCATCAATTTACATTTACCGGTATTCACATACTGTAGAATACTTTATTTTCGCTTGGAATTTATTTTCACTATTTTCGCTGAAGGGATGATTCCGTGAAAATAAAATCCAGCGAATATACTTTTTTTCCTATATTTCACATTAATCTCATCAAAAATCAGTGAAAATAAATTCCAAGCAAAATGCCCAAAAAGCCTTTTCAGCGAAAATTAATTCCAGCGAAAATAAAGTATTCCATAGTATATGGTACAAGCTTAGAAATTAAAGATCACACAAATTTGGTTAATTATTTTGTGAGCAGAATACAGCACTGTAGTTGTCAATGTGTCAACATCTAGGTGTTAAATTTATGGCTTCAAATTACCAGGGCCCTGAAATGCACTAGTCGCATTGTTTGGTATTACTAAGAAAAAAACCCAGAATGTTGATTGTACATGGATGTTCAATGCAAAATGTGCAGTCTTTTAAATTCTGGTTTTACTATCAAAGAAACTATTGCAACTAGTTAAGACATATTTAGATATACAGTAAAACCTGTCAAAACCGACCCCTGGATAAACCGACCTACTGTCAGAACCGACCGATTTATGTAGCCCCGAAATTTCTCCATAGACGCCTATGTTAAAACAACCTGTGAAATCCGACCACTGTTTACTCCGAACACCGACCGCATTGATCGGTCCCAAGTCCAATATTCACACTGAATACATCGACCATCCGACCAGTTGCACCACATCCGCTGTCTAGTAATTCGGTCTGCCCAACCTAAAAAGTGTGCATTGTG